GGTGGGCGTAAGTCTTTTTGCAAAGATGCTGTGTATCCCTCTCAGTCAGCTCTGACACTGACAGGCAGGGTCAGAAACCTGCCACCTAAATGATATAACTTGTGTTGATGAGGGCGTAAAAACACCTCTTTACAGGGTTTTTTTATGGTATGGAGAAAGCTTCATAAATAAGAGAAGACTCTTAAGTTCTTTGATTTTGGGAACATCTTGTGTTACAATAATAAAGCCCGCCTATTTTACTTTGTTACACTTCGTAATTGACATAATCATAAACCCTACAAAATGCGAAAGTTCCCATTCTGATCTGATTTTAAAAAATTACAAATACAGTTTACGTAATACAGTCAGGCATGAATTACCCAAACACGAAGATTGACAAAAATATATGTGTTCAACACATCCATAATTTCGGTGAACTGGTTAACCAACAGTGAATAATTAAACAGATATCAGTTAGGGAATGGTAAATTATACAGGATAGTTATGTATGTGATTTCGAGTTTCACATGTTCGTGTTTGTTTTGTTTTTGTAAAGTGTTTTACGGCGCTCGTCCAACGGTAAAACACTGAAGACAAGATATCCAAACCATCATCACTATAGACAAGACCAAAAGGGAAAAACATGTGCAGGAATCAAGCTCTTATCAATGCCTGGATATGCAAAAGTCCATGGTAAAAGGAAAAAAAGAAAATGAAGAAACAATCAACAAAAAAAGAGTACGTGATTGTAAACTCAAAATGTTTGTGTGGTATTCCACAAAACATAATTTTATTTAGACTCAGAAAATGTGTCAATGGAGTAGCCCTTACAATCAGACCTATGGCGATATAATTTAATAATGAAATTCAAGCCTTATGACCAAAATGCAAACATACTCCTCGACATAGACAGAAACAAGGACTGGCCAAGCTGATGGTGTGTCTTTTTGTATTGAGAATTTATCAGCTTTGGTGCAAAATGAATTGATGGTAACTTTTATGAGAGGAAGTCAGGGTAAGTCCCTCACAAAATAAAAATAGTGCACAAAAACTTACAGCTTACAATTACAGCATCAAACTTATTTACACATTACCTCTAAACTTAATCCAAAGAAAAGATGTTTCTAAAACCCTGCATCCTATTGGTATTACAAAAATAATTGTCAAAGCAGTTGGAAGTTGAACTCAAGGATGATAAAAAAACAAACATTTTTCATGGTCTCAATAATAATAATGCTGCCAAGAGCAACATGGTCTTCGAGCTACTTGCTATGAATACAGAGTAGGATTGGCAATGAAAAAGTTATATCAGCTTATGAACAACCAAAGTCATCTTCAAAAATTTCAAACAAAAGGGCTGTGTAAATTTCATTAATCCATCCAAAAATTGCAGACACAACCAGTATTGACTGGACCAGGGGAGTCACAGACTCCATACAGCTTGGGACACATGGAAGTAAGGGCAAAAAAAATAGCTCAGTGCTTAAAACCAAAACTTAGTAAGAGAGCTGGGTTGTTTTTTTTTAAATTTCAAATGTAGGCTACGAGTTTTTACATCCCCATCGACCCAATTACATCATTTAGGATGCAAAGGCCAACCTGGACTGAGAGGGGTGCACCAACCCAGCAGAAAGAACGAGATACTAGACAAAAATTATCCTCATTCGAGAATCAATATCTCACAAATCTCAGGCCTCCTGGGAGTGACAGAGAGGCGATGAACCGCTACACTACAGACGCTGGTAGTAGTGGTAGAGAAGTGAGTGAACATGGGTAATGAATACAAACAAGAGAAAAAAGTGGGCTCATAACAACTGAAGTCACAATTTTACACAGAATTTTAAACTTAAACAGAACAAAACTACCCAACAACTGTGTCTACATTGTGTTTTAAAATGGACACCCTTTAATTGATGTGTTACACTTCAAGTGCACCAGCCTAGTTGTCAGAAGCGCACGAGAGAGAGAGAGAGAGAGAGAGAGAGAGAGAGAGAGAGAGAGAGAGAGAGACACACAGAGAGAGAGAGAGACACAGAGAGAGAGAGAGACACACAGAGAGAGAGAGAGAGAGAGAGAGAGACACAGAGAGAGAGAGAGAGAGAGAGAGAGAGAGACACAGAGACAGAGAGAGACAGACAGAGAGAGAGAGAGAAATGCCCATATTTTCTGATTTAGAATTTGAGTCTACTTTAAAAACTTTAAGCAAAGTCCAGAACAATGTTCAGAAAGCTAGTAAAAAATCATGTGTACCTATTAAGAAACTACACAAATCAGCACCAAAAAAAATGATCCACTAAAAAATCTTCTTGCACTTGCATATATTTATTACAAAATAAGAGCTGTCCCACTTTTTTTGAGTCAAAGTCACTATAATGAGCAACGCTGGTTGGTAACAATAGCAGGCATTGGATATCTCTTTAACCCAAGGCTTCACTGTACTCTTTTTGGAAGAAAAAAAAATTGTCACAGCATCTCTGTTGAAATCGTTAGCTGATATAGCTCTGTATTTAACAAATTAAATGCAAAGTTAATCAGACCCCCCCCCCAAAAAAAACCCAACAACAAACAAACAAACAAACAAAACAACAACCTCGGGTACCTGAAGGGTTATGACAGAGAACAAGTCACTTTCAAACTCAATTTCAACTTTATACACTTCATCATGTTTCTTCACATAATACAGTAAAACAAAACACTACAAGAAAACACAGTTCAAAGAAAGTGTTCTAAAAGTTGCGAGTACATCAGGTGTGGTAATGATAATTACCATCAACTCTTCACACATAAAGAGAGAACAACATATATTTTTTAACAGCATAAATAATAAATAGGCTACTAAGTAAGTTAGTTACACAATCTGACGACTTAGCTTGACAAAAAATTAAAAGTGACTTTAATGACAAGCCCCCACAAAAACAAATGACAAAAATTGTTATTTTTTTATTATTATTCACCCCACTGTATAAATTTCAACAAGACATGTCCCCCCCCCCCCCCACCAAAAAACCCCAAACCAACAAAACAAAAAAACCCAGAGTAGCCTCTTTCTTCCCCCCCCCCCTTCCCCCAGGGCGGTACCAGTACCACTGACTGAGGTGTCTTTAGGCCATTCCCAAAGGGGGAAAATTTCTCGTTCTTATGCACAGCAGAATTGTAAATGGGCTGATTCAACAATGTCGTGCTCATAACTGTGCTTGAACTACAACAGGGAACTGCTGCTTTTTCTTTCCTAATCTTTACTATCGTCATCCTCTACTTCTTTTGTATGTTTGTCACACTCTTGTGACCCTTATTTCCGGGGTGCCTTGAAAGTCGAAACAGACTTTGTGCTGTTGAAGCTAGAGAGGTGAGCAGAGTAGGCCCGATTCCCTGTAAAGACTTCTCTGTTGACATCCACCCCTTGCCGCTCATATGACCGTATGCAGTTGCGAGCGCCGTAAAATCTCTACTAAAAAAAACCTGAATTACCCAAATTTAAAAAAAAGGGCATTATTATATCAAATACGTTTGCATTCTTAGTTTTCATTTTAAAGCCATGGTCCCTCCTAAAACTAAAAGATTTCTTCATTTTCATTCTGCAGAACTTGTCACAGCCACAGCCAAAAAAGCAAAACTTGGACAGTAAAAAATTTCCACAGGCTTACAATTATAAGTTATAATTCATTTTTTAACTCTATCAGATTGTCGTGTTTTACTATTACTATCGTATCCATACGATGTGGGAAACTCTGTGCCACCACTTTCCATAGAGGAAATTTACTTGATAATCCGATCCGTACGTTTTTCATAGCAGTCTGTCAAATGATTTTTTGAGAAATACTGAAAGTTTCAAAGGTAGGATGACCCCAGGGCATACAGATAAGGTTAAATTACCACAAAGAGTGACAAAGGGCTGGTCAAAATACAAACCCAGAGCTTTGAATTTGAAAACAATTTATGTCTCCTACGATTATTCATTTCATGGAATGAAAGAATCTGATTGTGTTTTCCTGCTGAAAAATTGGGACTGTTTCTGGTCTTTAAAAAATGTATGAATCCACAAAGTAAAGAACCTCTGACAGGCCACAAGAAACGTATACAAGTCACGCGTTTGTGTTGAATGGTCATTGCAATCTTTGAAAAAATAAAACAAACGTGGGCCTACTAAGAACCAGCCTTTGATTGGCTGCAATAAAGTGTGTCTGTTGAAGCAAAAAGGAAAGGTCAGATCAAAAACACTTGAGACATTACTCAGTCTATGCCAATCTGAAAATTGTCAGTGAACCACAGTGCAACCATCAAATGCAGTGATGAAAAGAAGCAGCAAAGTAAACAGTTTTTCAGTTTCAAAACAAAGCAACAAATTAAGAATCTAGCCACTAGCCATGCCCAATACAGCATACTAATTAATGCAAATATTCAGAAACAGGTGACTGAAAAAGCAGAGAAACGGGCTGAGCACCAGCATCCACTGATTTTTTTGATTTTTTTTAAATAGTAGAGGGTTTTACGGCGCTCGCAACTGCATAAGGTCATATGAGCGCCAAGGGGTGGGTGTCAACAGAGAAGTCTTTACAGGGAATCAGACTTACACTGCTCACCTCTCTAGCTTCAACAGCACAAGGTCTGCTTCGACTATCAAGGCACCCCTAAATAGCAGGTCACAAGAGAGTGACAAACATACAAAAGAAGTAGATGAAATGACAACAGTAAGGATCAGGAAAGAAAAAGCAGCAGTTCCCTGTTGTAGATCAGGCACAGTTATGAGCATGACATGAGTCAGCCCATTTACACATGGCCTGAAAAGTAGAAAACCAAAACATTGACAGCACAGTATTGCCCATAAATCTACAACAATTTTATAACTTACATCTCACTAGCATTTGAAACAAGGTTGATTTTAAAAAAGCCACCCAACTCGCAGCTGAAAGGTGATTGTTTTCTTCCCGCGACACCCACCGGTACCAGTGGGAGGAAAATGCAATGTAAAAGTAAAGTACGTTTAAAAAAAATCGTTGCATCAAAGAATTTTTCCTTTTTAACTGGAACAACAAAAGAAACATGTAAGACAGCAATATGAGTAATGTACAGCATGGAAAACTCTAAATTTTACACACATAGGATATCTCGAAAATATTGTTGCCATTTACGCTCAAACAAGATAACAAATGTCAGGATATTTCTGTCACGTCATTTAGGGGAAAGTGAAAATACCAGTCTGCAGATGAACACAAAGCCTACTTTTATGAATCTCTCTCACTCAAAAAGAAAGCAAATGAATATACTGTTACGCAGTTTACAATGCATACCAAAAGTCTGTCTGATTTTGAACTGTTATTATGCCGACTGATCATCACTCTGCTTCACACTAGCCCAAATACAATGTATTATTCTTCTTTAGCCCGGAACACAACAATGGTTTTACATGACTTTACATGAACGTACACTACAAACAGCTTTGGAACATACACTTTCATAACAAGAGTGTTTGATCCAGAACAGAAAAGCATTGATTACATAGAATTTGTTCACAAAAAGAATGACAAACTGGATCCCTTTTATTAACTTTTTATCTCCTTCAACTTTACACCCGTTCAATTTGCTTCAAATCAATGCTAAATATGACATTGTCTGGAAGGTCAAGATGAACTTTGGACAAATGAGCTTTCAATCTAGATGTCCTGGTACATGAAAACTCACAGAAAGCACACCTGTATGCCTTTGGTTGAGTGCCAGTGGCTTTACGGCCACCCAATTTTTCTTGGGTGTGAACCAACATATGAGCTTTGAGTCTCGAGGCCCGAATGCAGGAGTAAGTGCACTGTGGGCACTGCAAGGGCTTGGAAGTGGAGTGGGTGAGCATGTGTCGACGGAAGTCTGCTGCCCTATTGCCAGCATAATTGCACAAGTTACATACAAATTTCTTAATGTTCTGATGCGACAACATATGCAGTTTGAGACTCTCCTCCTTCTTGTATGTGGCCGGGCACAGATTGCAGCACCATGGGTGCTGGTACTTGTGCTGCAGGACGTGGTTCTTCAATTGCTTCTTCTGAATGCATTTGTAATCACAAAACTCACACTGCAGTGGCTTCTCACCATGGATAAGCTTGTGCTTTTTCAAGAGATAGGCAGAAGAGCAGCCTTGGCCACAGATCTCACAAGTGTACGGTTTGACACCGTAGTGCTTAGCCATGTGAGACTTGAGGCCTTCGTTAGTGCGGCAAGAGTAGTCACATTCTTTACACTGGAAAGACTTCTCATCTGTGTGCTTCTTCATGTGATCCTTTAAGCCCATCTTGCGCTTACAAGTAAAGTCACAGAGTGTGCAGCTGAACGATCGCTCAGTTGTGTGACACAACAGGTGATCCTTCATTCGTGAAGTGTCGTTGCATTTGTAATCACAGTGAGCACACTGGTATTTCTTCATAACACTGTGTTTCTTCATGTGTGCTGTCATGGTTGACTTGAAGTCACAGGAGAAGTTGCACTGCTCACAGTGATATCTTTTCGACTTGGAGTGATTTTTGGGCAACTTGGGCGATTCTGGTTCTGGTGGTGGAGGAGGTGGTGGTGGTGGGGGCTGAGGGATGAGCACTGTGGAAGACGCCTCCTGCTCCTCTTCCTGAGTGGCGGTAGGCTGCACAATGGACTTAAACAAATCGGCGTTATTGTTTTGGATAATGATCTTTTGAGTAGACGGAGCAGTTGTTGTTAAATATGGCTGCGGGTTGATGGTGATGGTTTTTGTCTCTTTGGGTATGATTGAGAAAATTTGAGAAGGCTTCTCCGCCATACCAGCCAAGGAGTTGAGTTGTTCGTCGTCTAAGTTATCAGCTTCCCAGTCTACATCCTCTCCATCTGCAGCATCCACAGCAGCATCGCTCAGGGTCTTCATCAGATAGTTGCCAGCATTAGAAATCAGTATGGGCTTCTGATCCACTGTCCCAGGCTCCTCCTTTGCCATGTTTCCATGAATCTTCATGTGCCTCTTCAGTCGAGACTGTTGTGTACACACATAACTACACAGCGGACATCGAATGATGCCTTCTATCTGAGTGTGCAACACTTTATGCTCCTTCAGCCGGGGTGCACTGACACATGTAAAGTCACACAAGTCACATTTGAGCAACGGTTTGTCCTGGGCGTGAATTTTCATGTGAGCTTTCAGCCTCCACTGGCGAATACATGTGTAGCTGCAAACTGTGCATTTCAGAGGTTTGGTGGCCAGATGAGTGAGCATGTGTCTTTTAAAATCTCCATAACGATTTCCAGCATAGGTGCAGTGTGTGCAGCGAAATTTCTGTACGTTGGAATGAGTCAGCATGTGAACTTTAAGACTTTCTTGTTTTTTATAGACTGCATTACAAATCTCACAAACAAAAGGAGTCTTCGTCTCATGTTGCATCATGTGGGCTTTCATCTGAAAGTTTTGTGTGCATGTGTAATCGCACTTGGTGCACTCTATAGGTTTGCTGGTCTCATGAGTGTACATATGGCGTTTGAGATGGCTGGACGTGTGGCAGGTGTAGTCACATTTTTCACACTTGAATTTCTTTTCAGAGTGGATGATCATGTGCTGTCTCAGGAGGGCGCGTGTCGCACTTTTGTAGGAACAGATATTGCAGCAAAAGATCTTGGAGCCAGCTGCAGTGGTCAGCTTTTCAGGAACTTCAGCTTTGAGTCGAGGGAAGTGGAATTCTATAGGTTCATGGATGATGGTTTTGTTCTTCTTAGCTCCTGGCCCATGAGTTTGTAAGACAGGAGCTGGGGCTGTTACTTCTGTCTTGACTTGGACCAGTTCCGGAGCTGGCTCAGCAGCTTCTTGTTGCACCACACCGAGTTGTTCCTGAAGATGAGCGCTATTGTCAATGACTAATGTAGTGGGATCTTGAATCTGGGCAGAAGCATCTTGGACTGATATTGTTCCATCTTGTACAGAAAATGTTTGATCATTTACAGTAAATGTTTGGTGATCTTGTGTGGCAAAGCTCTGGTCTTGTATTGTAAAAGTAGGGTCCTGAATAGCACCTGAAGTATCCATAAGGATGGCATGTTCCATTCCATCTCCAACGCCAACTTCCAAGAGAGACTGGTCCACAATGAAAGGTTGGTCTTGATCTTGCTCTCTGACATACAAAATAATTTCTCCATTTTGACCAAATGCATCTTGGGAATTCTGACATGCTGCCTCCACCACATTCCTTAAATTGTCTGCATTTATCTCTGACAAACTCAGAGACGGGGGCAGGCAGATAGTGATGCTGTTTGTCGACATACCATCCATATCCATGGCTTTGGTGGAAGTGGATGACGATGAGAACAATAATAGTGATCGCAAGTTCACGCTGAAAGACTCAGATCTGAGGAATGAGCAAAAAAAAAGAAAACATTTTAGTTAAGTGTTGCAATGAAGAAAAATATAATTTTTGGCTTCAGTTTCTAGGAGTGTCTGCAAAGACAATACTTTTGGCCAGTCAAACTAAGCAAAGATGTAACAAGTTCAAGAATTTTCTAATTTATACAGCAGAACCTGCTTTAACTGCCAACTGTATAAAAAAAACAACCCCAAAACAATCAGTAGTACAAGCAGTCACTTTTGATTTCTCCCCTTGTTATTTCTAAAATTATAAATGACACTGCGTATCATGGCCACTCCTCTAAGACAGCCATTTTTCTTCTCAACAATGGGTGGCCCTCTAAGACAGTTTCGACTGTAAGTCGTTTTTTAAACTAAAACTATAAGTCACATGATCAAAACAAATCTATACCATGTCTTTTTTTTAAAGCAACAAGAAGCTTTTCGAGCCAAACAGATTTGAACCAATGTTGTCAAAGTAAATTTTATCCAAAAGTGAAAATACTATTTCTACTTGTTCTTAAGTGACTAGACCATGTCTGTCTTCTTAATCTTAAATGCCTCTCTCCCCCCCCCCCCAAATTAAGTGACCAAAATTTTACAGCTTGCGGGTAAATGAGTGCACGAGCCAGATTGTCATTGAGTGTACAAAGGGGTGTGCTGTTCAATGGGTATTCTTTTACTTTCCCCTCCGTCTCACACTTAGCTACCAGATAACCATTTTCCACTATATTGATGCGCTGAACACGAATATCGACTCTACTTCTGTCGTGAATTAATACTTAGCTAGCATCTGCGTTTGTTGCCATTTTTTTGTCCAAAAGTAGCCACAAAATTGCCAAAAATTGCCATTAATTTTCAAGCTTTCAACTCTCTGTGACGACATATAGCAAATATGTTAATAGAGGTAACTTGATCTAAAGCACCAGAATTTCTTGTGCTCTGTTTTAAGCATCCAGAATATCATTTTTGTAGCCTCACAGAGTGTAAAAACGGGAAAAATACAGGCTTTACAACAGAAACAAATCAAAATTAGAGCAGTACATAAACAATCACAATAATTAACAAATAAGGGCGTGTGTCCACCTATCCAAAGATTGGCCGTTTTAACCCAAAGCGTGCGTAATTCAAGAAAAAGTACAAAATATTACATGCAAATTATGGAATCACACTTAATGGGCCTGCCAGTGTCAGTATTGTGTTTTGGTGGAGACACACTCTAACATAACACATTACACAAAAAAAGGTAGGAACAACATCAAATGAAATTACAGTATAAATATCATATATATGTGTATATTATTTGTAAAGCATTCTGACAAAATGAGTTACTTCTTGGATTCAAGCCTTAAGGAAATAGATACATCACACTTATAGGTGAAGTTTTTACAATATTAAGTATGAATTAATAAAAGATACGTTATCGTTAAGAACATGCAATCAACGGAAAATCTAAAAATTTGACCCTAATGTCGATTTTTGGCCAATTTGTTGATTGCGAGAAGTAACTCATTTTGTCAGCATGCCTGACAATATATTATAATATATATAATGCTGTCCTCAGAGAAATTCGCGCCCGCAACTTGCAAGTTGCGCGCGCAACTTTCGCGCAACTTTTACCATAATCGTGAATTCGCTAATTTTAGCCAATTTCCCGCAAAATTTGGGAAAATAATAATAAAATTTAATTAATAACACCTAAATTTTCTTCCACGACTAAAAATAACGACACCACTGCGGGATGCCCGCCATGCCGCCGCCCAGTGACCCGTACCGGGTCAGGTCGGGTCGGGATGATCGCCCGACTCGTCGCCTGAAAACGTGTTTGTTTTGAAACAACGAGTCAGGCGCGATCGACTTGTGTCACGATAGCCGCTTTGCACCATCAATCTGGCGGGCAAACCGACCCAATAGTCTTGTTTGGACTGAATCATCTTCTAGTCTAGCTACTAGATCTAGATCTAGAGTCTCAGTAAATCAATCGTAAACACGGTCGTCTGATTATTTAGCTTGCTTGGTTCCGTAGCACCAGGTAGATAGATCTAGTATAAAAATTTGTGAAAGACTTTAAATCTTAGGCTAGGGAGGCTAGGTCTAGACAAGCATCGATTCATCCAGAAAACTCCTAAAGGGGACGTTCAAAGATATCATCTTACGC